TTAGACTCGTGCCGAAGCTGGTGAATGTGTAGGGGAACTATGTCTGATGATAAAACCGGAAAAAGTTGTGGAAGATCTCAAGAAACTTGTATCTACGATTCTTGGCTTGTACAGAAAAGCGTATACAGAACAACATACAATTACAAAAGTAAGCTTTTTTTCCTCTTCGTATTTCATCGCAATAGTCATCATCCATCCGCCTTTCCGATTTCACTAATCCAATTCAAGGATAGGATCAAAGCGGAACCTTTCGCTCCTGCTACGATGGCCATTCATTTGCAGGAACAAAAGTATTGCTTTAAATTTGTCAATTCCAATTGGAGACACCACTGATGCTCCATGATAAAATAAGCTTTCAAAAGCGATAGTTCTCATAGGCAGAGAAATTAGCTCTGTTTTGTTTGTACACAGAAGGAGTTTCATGATGTGATGTACTAATGTTCATAGGGAGCCTAATTTCAAGAAGGCTTTTGAAGAAAAAATTTGGAAGAGAGGGTTGATTCGGCACCTTTTTACATCGCTGACATACTGACGATTTCATTCCTTATCATTGCATTTTTGCACGAAAGACCTTCTTTTCTCGATTTCAGGCTGTTTGCCGTTTTCTGGAAGCAACTTGCGCTAATGAGTCATGTCCCTTTGGAACCGTATGTTGAGGATGTCCTGAATGCTCTCTTTCCCAATGCATGTCTGGATCCGGATGACTCTAGTGTGACGTTGAATCCGACGGCTATCAAAAATCACAGCGAAGCATTCAGATGTTTTCACGTGGCAGGTATAGTGCAGTCACTTTCTTACCATGGGTTTCCTTATGTACAGTGCTCTAGCTGTTTTCATTCCAGTGGGATGGTTGACATACATTATTTTTCAGTGATCTTTTTTCTAACATATTTTTTTCAAGCGACACGATTTGCCGACAAGAATTGTCTACTACCTGTTACACAAAATACAAAGTGTCGTTGATATGCAGAAGCTTGGAGCTATAAATGTATTGCGACATCTTCTCAATTCAGCTGGTACTCTTCGTTGTTTTATATCGTTTTCCTAGTATAAAATAATTTAACTGTAAATAAGTGTTTTTTTTTAAGGCCAATACATGGAAGACAAACGGTCACTATTGATGATGGGGCTTCGAAAGCTGCTAGCTGCTGAAAACAATTCATCAATCAGGGTGAGTGAGCTATTTTATATCAGCAATTCCATTGTTACGCCGAATTTCAGTTTCATTTATCGCCTATTGCAGGTGAAGCGTGCTATTGTACAGCTCTGTGTGGCATTATCTGATCATGCTTACGTTGATGCTGAAGGTGGTGCATTGACGGCATTTCTTGACGAATCTCGTACCACCATCAGAGCAGGAGGTTCAGTACAGTGGCAATCTTCACTAATGCATGTCTGCATTGCTGTGTGGTTTCTGTTTCGAGCACAAATCGCCTATTTTAACAGCAGGCTCGTAAAGTAGAAGTGGATGTGGCTGGTTTGAATCAACTTCGCACTCAGTGTGGCCAAGCGCTCCATACGATCGCAAGTACATGTGTCTGTGCTAATAAAGTCAGTTTACTATACAACCTATTTCTTAGGACATGGTTCACCCTCTTGTATTGTTTGGTGAAATATGGAACAATTTCAGTTGCTTTGGCCATATTTGTTCGAATTTATATGCACCGAACGTTATTTCCCAGTGGTGGGAGATATTTGCAAATGTTTGCGAACGCTTGTAACGAGAGAATTACAAGAAGGGAGAGAATTGGATTTCGAGACTGGATTTGACAACGGTTTGTGAATTACTCATTTACTCTTTGCTAATGCATTTAGTGCTTCTAATTTATCGATACAGGCTAAATTTGGTATCAGATCTTCTGTGTGGTGCTTATGGTAGCGGCACTTTATATACCTTTAAGATTTGATTAAGTTGCCGTTCACTCTTCAGGCCGTTAAACATTCTCTTGCATGTAGTTTTGGGTCAAAAAATTGGGTGCGTGACGATTCAATCGTGGCAGTAAATAGGTCGCCGCGCCAGCCGCCGCAGCCAGCAATATCGCGGCGAATTTGCAAAGAACTCAGCATCCAAACATTGAGGAATGTAAGATTAGATCATGTTTCCCTTCATGAAACATGGAATAGGAACCCTTACCCTTTAAAATGCAGTTTCGTTTTCGCTCGCCATTATTATTAAGCATTACCCTCGCCTTCAAATAACCAGAAATTGTGCAATTGCAGAAATTGACGTGGCATTAACGTGTCATTAACGTGGCATCGAGAAGAACATCTTTGTGCCACGTGGCTAAATTCTCGATGAAAAGGTGACATCACGTGTGCTCAAAGATGTTCTTGAATCGATGCCACGTTAATGCCACGTCAATTTCTGCAATTGCACAATTTCTGGTCATTTGAAGGCGAGGGTACTTTTCCTTATGTTAGAGCCTTCCTCATCGTTCCTCTGTGTCTTGGAACGTGATATTCTTTCTGATTGAACCAGATTATCACTCTCTGATAGAAATTCAGGAAGCTGATTAATAAAGAAGTCAAATTAAATCCAAAAGGACAACCTTTACACGGTACAAAGTTTGTACTGCGAGGCTTAAATCACTGCAGGGATCTTACAGTGACGCTTGCTGGCTTACTGATGTCCAGCACTCTGGTGTTATCAGTCACCTAGCCAACTTATGGGCATGGATGGATAAGAAAAGGTCCACACAGAAATCGCCGCAGCAACTGCCGCACGCGACGATTCTCGCCGCGTGAGCGGCGTGACCTCATTAGCGGCCGATGTCAGACTTTGCGATTGGAGCGATTGTGCACCAATTGCAGGAGCGACGGGAGATTTACACCGCCGACCACCGATAATTCGGCGCCATCGGCTCGTAAATCTCCCGTCGCTCGCACTTTGAAGCGACGGATCGCTCAAGCGATCCATCGCTCGGGCCGTGATGTGCCTCCTTGGCCGTTGTGGCAGGGAGCTGCGAGCGACGGGAGAGCTGATGGCGCCGAATTATCGGTGGTCGGCCGGTGTAAATCTCCCGTCGCTCCTGCAATTGGTGCACAATCGCTCCAATCGCAAAGTCTGACATCGGCCATTAGCCGGACGATTGAATTGACCGTCTCCCTAAAACTTCGTATATACCACGTTAGTGGAGCGGACGCGGTAAAACATATAGTAAAAAGTAAAGAATAAAGGAATATTGGAAAGAAAAAGCTTTTTAATATGAAAATTCATTTTGGCTCTGTATAGGGCTTGACGGACTTCTCATTCTTTCACTTCCACATGGTTTCATCTGTTTGACTGAAGGTTTCAAAGCCATTCATTCACGATGTCCACGATCTCTTTTCTTTCCCTCTTCCCTTCGGAAGCAATGAAGTTCCTTTCGATCATTTGGCAACTTTTCAGCTCGTGTAGCTGGCAATCATGCTGTGCTAGCACGCCTTTTCGTATGCTTGTGCAACGCCCCGCTGAACGGACTTTTAGCAAGGAGAGCAAGGTGATTGAGTTTTCTTCGTCCACGTGATATCGTGATTAATATATTTGTACAAATAAGTTTTAAGAGAGAGTTATGGTTTGATGCGCGTGCTAGGCTCGTGGTTCCATCCGTCGATGACCGATGTGTGCTCGAGAAATGGTCAGATCGTATGGAATCTCTTATGGATGGTGGGCTCCACTAACACATCATTATTGATAAGATCCAGATTATGCAAACAAATATGAGGCTGCTTTGTATATACAAGTGTCTCACACTCGTGTTGAGATTTCTTGTTACAACTGCCGGGCAAAAGTTGCCGCTTATGTTTTCTCTCTCTCACGTAGAATTTTGCATAAGCTGGACTGCATGCTTGTATGAGACTAACCATAGTCCTCAGGTTGTTTTATGTAGTCTTGCTTGACTTCATTCCTATAATTATCCGAAAGAGGAGACCGCTTCAGTTGTGGGGTGCTGGTTTCGTTCAAACCTTTCAGTGGTGCACATACATGCTTTGCCATTATTTGCCAGATGATGTAGAAGTGTCGTGGTGGTTTGGGTTGTTGGGCGTTTGTTACCACATGAGGATACACGGTCCGGGTACCAAATCTCGAACAGAATCCCGTTCAGGTGAAGTAACTTTTCCGCCTGTACGGGTCACACGGGTCACCAGTCTGAAAGGCCGATAATGCTGTCTTGTGCATCACTTGTTCCCCGCAGTGAGTTGGAAAAGCTAAACATTTAATTGCCGTCATTCTGAAGTAAAAGTAAAATTGAAGTAAGATGCATGGCGCCTCCTAAAAAAGGTTATTTAACGTTCCGTAATTTGCTGGGGAGTGTAAACTACCTTAAGAACCGAATCCCATACTCAGCATTAAGAGAAGCAATTGCGACAAGTTGCTGCTGGTAAAAAATAAATGTAGCGGTGTTTGGCCAGTTTTTGGAGATTTGAAGGTGAAGTTAGAGGTGCGTCTCGTAGTAAAGGATTCATCGATGCTGTTGACACAATCAATCATTGTAGTAAGCATGAGATCATGGTGCGGTTCAGGGTGATTTACTTGAAACTTTCCGCTGCACTAAGGTTGTCCCCGGCGTTGAAATCAAAAGATAGCCCTGTATACAACTTTGATGTTGAACATCTCTCACCGAGTTTTGTGGAGGTGTGGCCACAAGTCTGTCGTCACCTAGCTGTGCATAGGCTGGCTCGGTCATCGCAGTAGCCTCTATTCAAAATCATGCATGATTTTCTGTAAATGTCTTCGTTTCTCCGTTTTTTAGTTGTTCATCTTGGGGTAATCTATGCCAAAGTATTCTTTAAGAAGTGTGCAGCACATCACTACCGAGTCCATCAGGAGAGTGTTCACCAGCAGTTGAACTGAGAGGACGTCGAATAGCGAGGTGAGTTTCTTGCTTTGTGTAAAAATCATGCAATATGGGCTGGCAACACAGTATTTTCGTACGAACTCTGTTATAGTTATAGCCTCCAACTTACTCCGTTCATGCTGCCTAAGATCCCAAATCTGTTTTATCCGTATAGAAAACGTTCATTTTCATCCAACAGTCCGTTTGTATCACACCTATTCTAGCAGTTCCAAACTATGTACAGAAACGTATCTGTTCCATGTGACAAAAATCGGTAAAGTTCTAATTAACACGAGCGCAATCGCAGCAACTGTTGGGTCGTGATATAAAAGTTTTCCCCCACAGATATGATTTTCACCGGTTATACTCATCACAAAAC